TGATTACACTAACATATTCACAAGAACGAGTGAGCGTCATAGGTAGATTGAGAAAATAAGAAGAAGAGATCATCAGAAAAACCTTTGAAGAAGGCGTTGGTGATCCAAGGTGGCATCATTTAAGTTGGGAATATAATAATTTATCCGTGGAACATGCTGCAAAAGAAGAACATATATATATATATATATATATATATATATATATATATAGAGAGAGAGAGAGAGAGAGAGAGAGAGAGAGAGAGAGAGAGAGAGAGAGAGAGAGAGAGAGAGAGAGAGAGAGAGCTATATATAGAGAGAGAGGTAAGTATGTAGAAAGGTTTCATTCTGTACCATAAAATCTATAGCGATACTCTTGCATTCGTTGTGAACAGTAGTTGTACGAAAGGGACTAGAACCAAACTTACAGGCAGAGCAAGATTGGAGAGACGTCTGCCTACTGCACCATCTAGTTTAGTGTACTCTTCAGATAACATAAGAGCAATCATCTGATCATCTTCTGTATCCTTTTGACTGCTCCAAGAGGTTGAACTCGAAGAGTCTCCCATGTTTTCTTGTAAAGTAGTAGTTGCTTCAACAGATGAAGAAAGAAATTCTTGTAGTCCTACAATAGGAAGCTGGACCTTACAATATATACTTACAATAGCACTTGGATTTTGTTATTGTTGTTATTATTCACAGCATTCCAGGTTGTATACATTGATAACGTTTATTTTTATGTTTGATAGCACTTTTTTATTAAGCTAAGCTCGTTTATATGACAAAAGAGGAGTAACATAGTTTATTGATATATATAAAGAGTGTTACAAAAAAAGACCTAGATCACAAAGATATACAAGGTTATAATTAGATGACAAGTTCATATATTATAATCACAACACCACAAAAGTAACAATAAAGAAATCAAACCAACTTTGAGAAAAACATCTGGAACCAGAGAAGTGGCTAGTGACCGCGCTTTGCTTTTCATCACGTCGTCATCATCAGAACAAGATGAGGAGTAGACAATTGTGAACAAGAAACCGTGGAAGATGAGGAAGAAACAACAGAGCTGAATGATCTCTCTTTTGATTGAGAAAGTAGATAATTAAAGCCAACTTCATCTTCTAGTATAGTTCATTTCTATGCACCATCAGAATCATTTTCAGGCAAACTTTTCCTTCCAAATCGATACTGGGATGATAAACCTAAAGAGAAAACAAACATCTTTACATATAACCAAGTTAAATTTCGAAGCAGAAAACAAAACTATAAGGAACGCAAAAGAAGGATCCTACCTTGGTTTTGCATTTTGACTTTTGTAGCTTCATGTGGATACACATGAGACACTTGGAACGTGAAAACAAATGTACCATTACTATATAAATTCATAAGAAAGAAACAACTGAGTTTCCGAACCATATTAAGTGTGAGCATATATGACAAAAAAAAAAAGCTCTACTTAACTGGTAGTATCCATCATTGGGTTTAATGGACACCTCAAAATTAAACAAATTATTTTTCCCATTAGGAAATGATATCGAACACGAGCTTGGAAGGTTCAACTCTGAAGTATCTGCAAATGAACTGAAACATTCGAAACTTGAAAAAGAACCCAAAATTTTGAGGGGATTATGCAAGAATATTTACTGTTTTTTTCGTCTGAATATCTATTATAAGGCTGTGGTTGGTAATCAGATGGAAATAACAGCATTACCGGAGAAACTTACAGATGCTGGAGAGTTTGTCTTGGTACTAGACACGTTGGTGGATACAAGATACAATGCGGAGGGGCAGCTAGAGGTCTTAATTTCATGGAAGGATACCTAGTCATGAAGCGACTTGGCTTACAGTTTCTGAGTTTGAATAGCAGTATCCATCATTTGCGCTTGAGGACAAGCTGCATCTCATGGGGGAGGGGGGTATTGATATGTTCAGGAGGGTGTACGTAGGAAGAAGAGAAGAGGTAAATACAGAGTAGAAGGAGAAGTCAATGCTTCTAGTGAGCCGGAGAAACCTCTACTGAATAAAGAGGGTTTACGTTTGGCATTTGACCAGAGACGTAATGAGTCGTATGTTTGGCAATTTCTCTGACATCGTAACAATGGATGCTTCTCTTTGATATCGATACAAATACATATTCAGTTTTACAAGAGTTCCTATCTTCAATCTTATCACATTCTCTTTTCCTTTATAATATGATGTGAAATCTGTGAAAACTTATGTGGAATAATCAATAAAAGTTTTCTTCATCCTTGAGATTGTTCAAGCTTACAAACACCGCCTATTTTGAAGTGTACGAAGATTCCATGGGTGGTATAAGTCATAAGACTACAACACGAGAGTAAGATGAATCATGAATGAATAAGGCGCTAATCGCAACACACAAAGCAATAGTGATTCGAGAGAAGATCAGAAACGTTTAGTAAAAATTCAAAATAAGAGCAAAAGGCAACATCAAAGCAACCACTCAAAACCTATTGGGTCTAATGGTTTTTCATACCAAAAAAAAAAACCAGAAACGTATTCCATTGTCTTAAATTTTGAAATCATTAAAATTGCAGACAGAGTTGGTGCACTAGTGGCAACTCCTTTCGCCAATAATATCCCACAGGACATGCCAACATGGCTGAACTTCTAATCCCCCGATTTCGTCTTTGTACATCACATTTGTTAAGAGTTTTGTTGATCTCTTTTAGAGTCTATGAGTCACCCTGATAACCCACAAAAACAAATCAAACCCCTGCAATAGACAGCCATTTGAAATATGATTTCACGTTAAGCGTAAACAAAGCCATGAGAATGCAGAGAGCATGAAAGTAGAGGTAGACTAGAGATTTAAAGTTCCTGTAGATTGTAGAATCCCAACGGAAACCAGATGAAAGAATGATTATCTTACGTGAATGGAATCGATCCATAGGAATCTCTTGCTGTTCGCGTTTAAAGCACAAGTACTCAGCTAGCAATGCCATTACAGCGAGTCCCGTTCCATTGACAACCCACCATGCCATAGACAAAGGCCATCCTCCATACATGATGCACAAAAAGAGGTGTATGATGTAGAGAGTTGCAGAGAAATCTAAGCATTTCCGTGCTCGTTCCACCACAAATATCATGTACACGGCCCTGAAATAAGTTTCATCACAGCATAGAATAGCAAGCTTGAGGATAATGAAAAGTAATAGAGAGAAACAAAAGCAAAAAAAAAAAAAAAAAAGAGACAAAAAGTCAGGTGAATTGGTTCTAACCCTGCGAGTGAAGCGAAGAAGAATGAGGCAATAACACACCAACCGGTGAGGGTTGAAGTAGTGAGTGTAGCGTAATCGAAGAAGTAGACAAGACTGAGGCGAGGAACGCGAAGGCCAAGAAAAAGCATCATGAAGAGTCCTAGAGTGAGATAGTAAGAGCACTGAAGGCAAATGATCTGCCCAACAATAAGCCAAGGGTCCCATACTGCTGTGCCATAGAACATGGCTCCACAGCGCGAAAGAGAAAGCAAACAAAGAAAAAAGTGTCGCTCACACAAATCCCCTGGGGATCGATATTCGGATCTCCAGATCGCTTGATAACGCAGGAATTCTTTTGTACAAGTTGATAACGCAGAAATTACGCATCCGAAAACAATTTATACACTAAATTCCCAGATCGTCCAAATCCTAATCGTGGATTCACCGAGCTAGACGAAATTCTAAGAGACGATGAAATGCATAACCCGAAAACGCACCTGCGAATTGATATACAGATTCTAGATTGGTAACTTGGCAAAATGGAAGTAGGAAACCGGATTCGAGACTTGAAAGGAAGATCAAACCGGATTCGCAGAATCGGCAGAGCACGAACGCCAGATCGATTAATTAACTCAACTGGAAATCAACCAAGCAATTTTGCAGAGAGAGAGGGAGATTGCTCCGAGCGTCCACAAACAAAACAAGTCAATTACAGGATATTAACATGCAGGAGAGACCGCATAGCGCAGTGGATTAGCGCGTTTGACTTCGGATCAAAAGGTCGTGGGTTCGACTCCCACTGTGGTCGATTCTATTTTTGTTTTTCTTTCCATTTTTGTCCCTTGCATGTACCGCACGATAGAAACCTCATTCATAACTCATTCTATACATCGCATTAGTCGGTAGGGAGTCAGTAAACAACTGAGACAGAATGCAAGATGTTTCCATCAAATGATGATAACTAAAGTATCTAACAAGTAACACAACACAATCGTACAAAGTTGCAAATAGAAAAGAAGAAAAAAAAAACACAGGATGAGCCGGGGCATCAGGCCACAGCAAAAACCCACCCGAATTATTGAGCACACAAAAATCCCCAAACCTAATAGCCTAACGATACAACACTAGAACTCACACTCACACTCACACTCACACTCGGGAGCCCAAAAGGCCACTGCATCTATGAGAGAAAACAAAACAAAAAAAACTCAGCCTCTCTCATGAGCTAAGAGGCATTGCCAGAGGAAACAGATCCTCGTTGCAACTTGATCCAAGCGATGATATGTCCAAAGAATCTTCTTCAACACCGGCCTTCTCAGTTTCCTTTTCTGCTGAAGCCTCGCTGTTGACGGAAATAAATAAATGTCAGAAATTGTTATTTCCAAGAAAAGACAGCAGATTTCTTCTCTAAGTTTGAGCCACACCTGTGAATATGAATGGTGTGAAAATCTTGAGGTTGCCGGCTAAAAGAATCACCAGGCAGAGAATCGGCTTCCGGTTCTTCGATTTCTTTCAAATCTTTGGGATCACAATCCAGGATGCAATCACCGAATATATGAGTTGTTTTTGGGTTTGGCCCATGAGAAATAATACATGTATAATCCTCAGAGAGTGCCATCTCACGGGCAGAGAGAGAACGAGAGTAAGCTTGGGTGGGGATAATATCCATAGGAGATGAGCTTGATCTCCTCGGGGAGTTATGGTCCTCCGCAACAATAGTGTCCCAGATTGGGTCACACGGCTGAGGATGAATGTCTTGCGCACCAGACAATGGAGGCACAGCATAGTTCTTGGGCAACGAATAGGATTTAAGACAAGGATCAAACAGTTGAGTGGAAAGCTTGGCCTTGATGACCTTGATTTGAGGGGCGAGCACGATGTTCTCCCTTCTGAATGAATCATCCTCATCGCCTTTTCCGATGCTGGAGCATAGAACAGACAGCCCAACTTTGTCACAAACCCATTTGTTCCGGTGGCCAAATCTGGGAGCAGGAGACCTGGGGCTAAAGAAGCCACCAAAGTTTGCAAAATCAAGGGGAGAAGTAGGGCTTCTCCCCGCATCAGAGTCTTTAGCTCCAAATCCCACAAAGAAGCTAAAGAGTGGGGGGGCGCTGCTGCTAATGTGTTTGAGATCCACTAACTCAGACGTGTCTGAGGAGTCCGGATCAGCCTCAGCCATTCCAAATCAATTTAAGCTGATTGAGAATGAATTTTGAATTTTCTTTCCCCTGGCTGGACGATTCACAACAAGTCATTCCTATAAAACACACATGAATTTTCTCATTCACAAGTCAAACAGAGACAAAAGGGAAACAAAACAATAAGTTGTCGATAGCAAAACAGTACTTGAATCTGCAGGTTCAAAAATGGCATCTAATGTAAGATTTTTTTTTAAAGATTATCCAAGAACTGAGCCTACCACTAATCAGTAGACGGTAGACCCATCTCTCGGAACACATTCGATTCAATCCACTGAGAAGAGCTCATGCGCAAAAACAATTCATGGTTCAAAGACCTAAATCCAACAAAAAGAATGAACCTGGACATTCTAACGAATAACGGAAAAAAAAAAACCCGCGACCAACGGTAGAAATTAATCAGATAACTTTCAAATCAAACCCCCCCCCCCCCCCACATGTGTAATCCCAGTCCAGAGACAGAAAATCTGTTTCTAATCGATGATCATATAAATCACACAAATGGATGGATATCAACGAGTGTAGAATCAAATGTAAAGTGAAGAACACTGAAACCCCAAGAAAACGGTCCGAAAAATAGCGGTTGAAATTATCAAAGTAGTTTCAAATCAAAAGACGACTTGGATCATCAGAAGAGTCAAAAGCATATACCATTGCTGCTTCATCAATTTAGAGGAAATCCAAATGCAGGTGCTCGTTCTTACAAGCTGAAGAAGAAAATAAATTGAAGACGAAATTTGGGGCTTCCTCTCGTCGTTATCTTCTCTCTTTCTCTCTCTTATTATTGTTTTGGTACTGTGATTTTTAAGAAGCAAAGAAAGAGAGAGAATACGGTACAAGGGTCGTATCGTTTACATAATAATATTAAACTGATTTTTCCTTTTTAGATTTTTATTTCTCAAGGAAAACAAAAGGTTAAATCAAATCAATATTATTATAATGCCACATTCACACACACACCCGAAGGAACGCGAAAGAGAATCGTGTTGCCCATTATCCAATAAGGCATGACCAAAATCAAACAATCTTTTTTCTCTTACTTTTTATTTTTATTTTTTAGTTTTCATTCCAGAAAAACAAATTTTTTATTTGATAAATAAATAACTAATACTACAATAATTTACATTAACTAATACTAAAATCATTTACATGGTTACATTGTAGAATGTAAATAAGCTTTCTCTTATGGATTCGATTAAAGTTTTGATGGAAAGGAAGCTTCAAGAAATAGAACTAGAATGATTGATTCTATGAATACATGGAAACTAAGTTTTGCGAATATTTTTTTAAAGTAGTTTATCAAAATTTCAATTAAAATATTTTATTACTTAATAATAAATTAAATAAAATTTTAGATTTAAACCATGTGTAAGACGCGCCTCGATTAGCAAAGCTGCGTCATTGTCTCAAGCGCAAAGATGATTTTGACCTTCCGAAGTCTCAGAAGCGATGTGGGAGGAATACACGCCCCGCATCTTGAGCCTCAGAAATTTTGGGCCTCCGAATATCGAAGCCCATAACAATTTTGTTTGTTTCTCTAATTTGTTTGTTTTGTTTCTACGGTAAAAGAAAACAAAACAAAAAAAAAATCGAAAGCAGATTTGTTTTTTCACTCACACTATTTAAGATGCTAGTATTTCCAACGATACCTTTAACGGTGTTGAAGTTTGACCGATTGGTTCAAATAAATAATAGATCTGCGGCCACTAAAGTATTAAGTCATCAACGCGTACGAGTCTGTGTAAATTAGAAGCGGATTAGTTTCACTTCCAATAGAAAGCAATTACTATTCAACCATGCATTCAATGCAGAATCTGGAAACTTATGGGAACAGATTTAACAGCAACAAATACAAGAAAAAACTTCCCATTAATGACGTTACCCACTTCATAGATACAACGTAAAGCGTTGAACAGTTTCAGATTGACCAACCCCTCCCTCTTAATTCTTACATCGAATCTCCAGAATTGGTAAAAAAAAATCTCAGCAATATCATATCCGTTGTTTGCAAAAATTGAAATGTTGAATTTGTAGAGGGGAAATCAATCGAGAACATTCGCAAGGAGAAAAAAAAAAAAAAAAAAATGCCAAACCCATTGCAGAAATCGCTGCATGGTTACCTGTCAAAGATCAAACGAGAGACAGGGAAGCTGCAACTGTCGTCGTCGAATTCACTGTCATCCTCGAAGAAGTGGGTGCTTGCTGGCTGTAAGCATCCCAAGAAGCTCTCCTTCTCCTCCTTCAAGCACAGGCGACGCAGCAGCAAGACCAGATTCAACGACGACCACGTTTACCAGGATACCACCGGTCACGCCGCCACCTTGTCCGACATTGATCGTTTCCTCGAGGAAAACTTCAAATCCCTCTGCATCAGAGATGGCGACGAGGAGGACGAGGGTGAACGGATGACCAAAAAGAAGGAGAAAAGGGAGTCCTCAGAGGACGACGAAACAGATGATGATGATGATGATGATGATGATGATGATGATGAAAAAGACGAGTATCGTCACAGATTCGAGAGGACATGGGGACCGGCCGTCTACGACTCACCAAAACTGCCAGATGCGCCGGATCGGCAGAGAACAGAGAGACTATCTCCACCGCCAGGATCATCGGAGGGTAGGCCTAGCATGGACACAACGTCCACATCGGAGGAGAGACAGTCGAGGCCGTCCAACCCATCCACCTTGGTGCTGCCGGAGAACTGCATCGCGGTGCTGAGATACACGGCGGAGCCTCAGGAGGATTTCAGGCTGTCGATGGTGGAGATGATGGAGTCCAAGTTAGGGACGCGGGAAACAGAGGTGGACTGGGACCTGATGGAAGAGCTGCTCTTCTGCTATCTCGATCTCAACGACAAAAAATCACACAGGTTCATACTCAGCGCTTTCGTGGATCTCATCATCACTCTCCGCGAGAAGGAGAAGAGGATCACCAGGAAAGGCCTGGCGAGGTCGCTCAGTACTCGCGCCGCCAGGGAGAGGCTGAGGAAAAGGATGATCATGAGCGACGCCTTTAGAAACTAACTAGTGTCAATTCCATTTTTCTCTGTTGCAACTGAACAAAAAAAAAAATGTTATTTTCATTCCTTTCTTCTTAGCCTCTACACTACAGTAATGGCTATTAGTGTTACTGTTACAAAAGATGAAAAGAATCAAGTGTGAGAGCAACAATGTCCACTATAAAAAAAAAAAATATATATATATATATATAAAGGGACAAATCATCTAAGCATATATAAAAGAGATCAGGCTTCTCTTTTCCTCGTTATGATGCATTGCTCATATGCAGGACGATACTTTGCTGGCACAAAGTCCCTGAATCTGTTTTCAAACGAGGCAGAGATACATATTAGAGGCTGTTGCACACACAAAAGCTGGTGAAAGGCAATTACAGTTTAATTACCCCATGAGAAGATGATCTCTCTCTGTCCCACAAAACAGTTGCACAATGGACTGTATCACGTTTGCTAATTTAAGCTCCTTCTTCTTCAATGCTTGCATGTATCCAATGAACTTGTTATATTCTTCTGTGTTGAGCTTTTCTTTGACCTAGAGTAAGATCACCAGTGCATCACTTCCTATGGGAACAAATAACTTGATATACAAAAGAGAAAACATGAAAAGATGAGCGTGGGATCTAACTTGACTCAAAAATGCAGATGCACTTGCTTCCTTGTTATCAGCACCTCCATTCCCTTTCTCTTTCGACACTGAGGACGATGCACTTCCCTGACTCTCTGGAACCTTTCGCTTTTTTACTAGCCCCATTGTGTTGAAACAGGTGCTCGATGCAAACTTTTCTGTTTCACAGTTCTGCTTCTCACAGTTGTCGCATTCTAGATCAACTACTTCACATTTCCTCTCTACCAGAGTATCCTCGTCATTTAGGTCAACTAATTTAGTCTTCCGTGAAGAACAAGCCTGCATAACATCACCCTTTACAATGCGAGGCATCTTGCCCTTACGTTGTAGGATGGTTAGGCCTTTCCATTTAACACTATTTCCATCATGCTCTGAGGCTGAAGCCCGATTTGCAGGAGGAAATGCTTCTAGTCTACTCAACTCATTTCGCGCAACCCCAACCTTCATCACATAACTATTACCTGTACAAGATCAAATACCCAAAACCAAAATTGCAACATAGAGTGTTGACGTTAGATTCACATTATAACCATGTACCAAAGCCAGAAGGAAAACATGATTTCTAACCCCGATAATGAAGGAAAATGAATCACTGACCAGAGGTTGGTGTAGGAGCATCCTTGGTTGACTCCTTTGGTAGCAATGTTGTTGAAACTGTATCGGAAAATATTTGGCTTTCATTGGATGTCAAACATATACTTGTCAATAGAGAAAAAAAAAACGAAGTTCTTGTGGATACATGATAAGCAATTATATAATTCCCAGATACCCAAACGCAGCCCAAAGTCGCTAATCACAGGGAAAGAAACAGGACAGGAGATAATAGGGCAGGCTAAGAAATGGAAACGCCAAATGGAAGGTATCGTTTGGCTGCAAGATGCATTACCTAAATTGTTCTCTTGTTCTGTTACAAGCCTTGCAGGACAATTTGATCTTTCACTCCGAAAAAACCGAGCAAGGTCAGCAATGACCTCTCCATATCTAGAGTAGCACTGCAAAACCGATGTACCCAGAAACAAACTTAGTCTCCACAAAAAGGAGAGGTGAGACAGAGCAGAAACATATACCTTGACATACGGTCGTATCCAAAGTGATATCTTGGACTGCTGGGACGGCTGTTCAAATCTGTCAACAATAGCCAATTACAAAATAGTCAGAACAAAACGAGGATGAATATATTTTACCCAAGATCGAGCACTGTTTCTTGTCTACCTGACGATTACAATAAGCAAGTAAAGTTCAGAAAAAGAATGTCATAGACCATATCAGCCAAAAGCAATGTCAAATAATGAGCATACGCCTCAAGGCTAAAATTGGCAGTGCCTTAACTTCAAGATTTCATGCGCTATCTAAATTCCAAAAACAAGAGGCCTACATCTTTATATACATCATGCCTGCAATATATACCCGAAAAAACGTTCTTGCAGGAAGCTAGACAAAAAGAGACCATGGATAGCATGAACAAACCTGTCATCACAGAAAATAATAGCTCCATAATCATGGCGATGGCGGATTACACGTCCAATTGCCTGATTCACAGCCCGTGCGGCTTCTTGACTGTACCACATGCTTCCAGATAGAAGCGTTGATCTTGGAAACTAAGAAAATGTAAAAGGTATCATAAACCTTGTTGAGTCAAGAACCGAATAAATATTGAACTCACCTTGACATCCGCAAATTGTGATTGTTCATCCAGAAACTCTCGTTTCAGTTTAACCTGTTTTACAAATGGGTTATTAATGCTGGAATGCAAGTAGCAGCATAAGATTAAAAGCTATGCAGCAGACGAAGAGCATGTAGAAAAGAAAGATAGCAATTTAGCTCGTGAGCCTAAATAAATTTTGAGAACAAAACAGTGAAGGATAGAGTAAACAAACCCTAGGATCAGTCACCCTGGCATAAGGTAACCCAGTAATGACAACAGCTCTGCCAGCGCCGTCAGCAAAATCCAGTCCTTCACTGACCTGACAACACATCAGAGACCAGCCGTACTGAAACTTATATAACTAGTAACCTCGTATTTCTTGTACCAGCATTCTCATACAGAAAATATGGATATTCAGGATATCATTTATGACAGAGACGAACATTTCAAGCAGGTTGAAGACAACATACCTTTCCGCGACAAACGGCAAAAAATACCGCACCCGAGATTGATCTGTCTTGCAATTTTTCTGAAAAGTCCTACCATGAAAAAAAATAACAAGTCAGGATTAAGTAGTCATATGCTGTCTTTTGGCAACAAAAGAACATTAATCAGAGGCATCTGTTGCACACCTGCATTGCTGCAGGAAAGAGGGAAGAATCTTTAGGCTCAATGACAGGTTTCTTCAGTTTGCAGATTCTTTCCCATATTGTCATTGAGTTCCTGTGACACTGAATGATGAAGAAACGGTATGTTTTCAAGCTAAAGAGTATCAAATTTTCATACTCAGATAAAATTTACAAGGCCATACCCCATCTTTCCAAAATGCAATGCAACGATCCATAAGGTAATACGAAGGGAAAAATATCAGCAGTCCATCAGGCACGACACGAGAAAAGTTAACTGCAAGGCAAAAACTTATACTAATCAACTCATAACAATAAGGACAGCAGATTCAAATTTTAGACGACCTCCCAATTCTAGATTTCGGCTCACACATCAGAAATTCAGAATGATACATTCAGGCCACCCAAAATGAACAACCTAATAACAAACCACTTACCAATAGCATTCCCAAGTTCTTGTTTGTACTCAGGTACATCACGATGGCGGTAGCTAGAATTAAGAACACACCCTGATGGACCAGTACTAACAACTCCAGCCCATAGCTGAGTTGAGGATATAACATGGGGATTCTCCAACCGAACAGGAAAGTCTCTGCATTTTCGACAAAAAAAAAAACATGTTTCCATCATATGCTGCGGGAGAAGGCAGCTAGAGAAGAATGGTGGGAGAAAACCATAGCGATTTACTCACAATTTTAGTTCTTGAGCCAATGAATCCATGGGAGACAAGGTCCCCGATGTTAAAATGATAGACCCAACACCTTTTTTTGCTATGTCCTGCATGGTAATCCCAGGATTGAAACACCACCAGCTAAGCGTTCTTGATACCTTGCCTACAAATTAATCATTCATTTATTTTATCCAAAGTTGTGATTATTTTGCCAAGAAAACACAGTTTTCACAGGGAGAGCAGATTACAAAATGAAGATTATTATTATTTCAATTTAGCAAACTGGTGCTTCTGTTATTGCTTTAGTAATCCAGCATCTTATTGTTTTTAAGGTTATAGACGAACCCTACCTTTTATGACATCCGTAGAATTTTGCTCAAGCTCTTGTACATGAACCTAGCAAAGAACGAAAGTGAACGATATGCGTAAAAAAAGGGGTTTCTGAAAATGAGATAGCACAAGAGAGAGATAAATATCTTTTCAACTTGATTATAAATTCGAAACGGAATGTAAAGAGCAGTTTGCTTAAAACTTACACGATAAACATCTGCATGGTTACTTCCATTTTCTCTAAAGATCAGTTTAAGCATGTCGACAATGATTTCTAGTTTGCTTCCAGCGTTGGTCGCTGTTCGTTGTTTCTCCTCATCCAGGAGCATTGCAGCCTCCTCGACTGTACCAATAAGTTTAGGAGCAGTTTCGTGAGTGATGTTAAGGCTTTTAAGCATTTCGTATATGTAAGGCCCAGGCTTGGTAAATCCCTCCTCCCTTTTCGGAATTGGTACTTTAGATATCAGCTCCTGCAACTTTAGAAGAAGTCCTGCAAGAGAAAACAACGCATAGATGAGGACAGACATGTCAGTTCATTCAAGTATAAAAGATCTATGGACTCACAGTCAAGGCCCCAAGTTTAACCTTTAAGTATGGCAAAATTCTCAGGGTTCATGGATCCATCATTTAATGAACCCCTTCTTGCTGACGCAAGTTCTACACATTCTTGTGCCTCGGAAATGCAAGCCGATAAAAGCACAGAAGGAAGGTCAAATGAAGCTGAGTCTGCGCATAAACTTTCCTGCGAATATTTAAAAGATAGTTAATGTTGCGAAATCTGAGAGCAGTATAATCATTTGGTGATAGGATAACCTGGAAAATAGAGAAAGTAGAACAAAACCCCAAGAAAGGGAGAGTTTATGATGAACAAATGCACACAGAATAAAATGATGTGTAGAACATCGATATTCCCCTTACTAGATTGTGAGCTTCATCAAAAATCAGGACGCTATTATTCCAGTTGACCTTCAAATACTTTCTATACGCATTGCTGATCAAGTAGTTGTAAGGTGCAAATAATATGTCCACGTCCTTGTGAATCTCTCTTGTGATATAATATGGGCATCTGCAGAATACAAATATGGTACAGATGGAACAACCCAGCAGCGTAAGAGAACATCTGGATAACGAGAAAGAAAAAAATATGTTGAAGAAGCAAAAAAAAAAAAAAAAAGAGGGGAACTTACGGTCCAGAATCTTTCCCAATATTGACCAAATCCTCGATGTCAACTGGTTCGTCGCCAATATGAGGGTTATGCTTCAAATAATCTAAAAAAGATTCATGGCAAGGCAAAATAGTGATGGTAAACACG